ACGTCGGACATCCAGCATGCCGTTAACAATTTTGAAAAGAAATACCAGGTCAGACAAGAGCCGCCGTTGCCTTAGAGGCAATAGGTTGAAAACCGTACAGCGTCTGTCGTAATCGCAGTACGGAAGATAATATTTATACGCCAAGTGACGAATAAAGCGACGTTGAATGGCTTCGATGCGATCACGATAGACGGCGTACATGGGACTCCACACCACAGAACCATAGCTTAATACACTGTTTACAAATGCCATATAAAGGGACTTTATACAGGTAACATTGGTGAAATTTCTGCTTATTCTGATAACGAACCCCAAGTTACGTAATGCTTTTTTCACCATAAGGTCGATATGAAGGTGGAATCGCAGTTTGGAATCAAGAGTAATACCAAGATCCTTCACTCTGTCAGTGGACGCAATAGCTCTGCCGTTAAAACTGTAATAAAAGTTAACCGGATATCGTTTCCATGTAAACGTAATTTTTTGACATTTGTCGTAATTGAGATGAAGTTTGTTGACGAGACAGTAGTCATGCAAACGGTCAAGGTCTTCCTGAAGCCGCAGACAGTCGAGCCTTGTAGTAGCGATATCGCGAGTATAGCGCGATATCGGCTTTATTTTTGTTGTTCGAACTGTAGTAGCCAGACAGATATGCCCGTACTGGGTCATGTTGAACGTCAGTGTCATGTTCAACTACATCGGGGACGAGTAGTGTTTCGTCCTCGATTAGTTCTATGTCTGGCTCTACTTGTTCTGCTTGCTCAGCTGCCATCTCGTCCTCGATCGCTTCTAGAAAGTCGACCGGGACCTCTTGCCTTTGTTCGTTAGCAAGGCTCTGGATGAAGTCTCGATAATCACGTTTTTGTCTCCTCGACTTAATGGCCTCTAGAGTTCTTCTGGGAAATAACGCCGCTAGGTGTTGGTTGATAAACCTTCCTTCAAAGGCAATCTCAGCCTTAGCCATGGCAACTAATTCTGCCTCGGTCCATGCACTCTCATGCCTTATTGGATTATCGTGCATGTCCGTGAGTTCCCTATTGAATTCCACGGGATGGGCTTTAGATAGATGCAGCCTCATACCCGTGTACGTGGTAAACTCGCGATGACAAATTGGACATGTATGTAATGCATTCCCCGGGTGGTCTTGGGTGATTCCTGCACCCGGTATGGGGTTGGGATTAGGTGGTGAAGGAGGACCTTTGCAGTACCTCCTAGTGACATGCGCCCTCATGCCGCTTTCCGTCGCAAACGTCTTCATACAGATGCAACGAGGCATACTGAAACAATAAACACTTTAAAAGGTGCTTATTAAAAGGAACAATAGCTTTCGCTTACATTTACCGAAAGCTTAAAAATAAAACTCGTTTCGCTTTGTTCCCTGTATGATCCACTACTAAACTGTGAGGACTGTGCCGTAAGAATGTTTTAGAACGATTACGTACACACTGGACCGACCAGTTGGCACTATATGATTGCAAGTAAAACTATGCAAAAACCCCGAGGGGGAAAGTTGTACGACCTCGTCGTACAACTGATCGTCATAATCAACAGGTAAGAATTCCGCGCGCAATCCTTCCACTAATTGTTCCCATGTCGCGAATTTATCTCGGTTAGCTCGACACCATATCAGCGCTTGGTCTCTAAATAGATCGACTGCAGAGAGAAATAACATTACTTTCGGCACGCCCCGCGCCACACGCAATTCATTTATCCTTTCGAGAAAGGCGCTTAACGAACTTTTTCTATCTCCGGCAAACGTAATGGGGTATTACGTTATTTATCGGTACTAATTTTGAAGTATATGAAGCCACTTCATCTTCGGAAGTTTCACTAGAATTCGACGATTCCTCAACCAAATTTACTATGCTTATATTGTGAGTGATTATATCGCGATGACAAGGTTTCTGTTCACGATTTCTGTTATCAAGTTCATTTTCGTTGTTTTATCATCCGCAGTAGTAGCTTTTGCCCGATTCGCGCGCCCTACCAAATAAATCAAATTATTATTTAAACGTTTAAAAGCCGCGCATCAACTAGTACCGGAAAAATTAATAACTTTAATCGCAGCCGCATCTTCCTCAAATGTAAACGGATACTCTGTAACAAAGTCACGTTTAAGCTTTTTAATAAAACGAAAACACCACGTCGTTATTCGTAATAGTTTTATTAACGAAGAATATTTTGTTTTTAGATCCCAGCCTTGAACCAATGCCACATGGCATGAAATCGTAGTTCGCTTCTCACGATCGGTTTCTGGAGAATTGGAATTTGCGAAGTTGGTCAAGAATTTGAAGGACCAGAAAGCCAACGAGGGCCGGACCACCAGATGGATTCGTTCTGAAGGCGGTTGATTGGAACGCGGTCGATATCGCGCGTAAAAGCCGCCCGCCGTGAGAATAGAATTCAATTGTTCCATGATTTGGTGAATCTCGTCAATGTTTTCCGCACCCGTCAAAATGTCATCAACATACGTGTCGTTTAATAGTACCGCTGAACCGGATGGTTGAAGACCAGAATGCTGGTTGGCCAGCTGTCGAAGACATCGTATAGCTAGAAATGGTGCACACGATAAACCGTAGGCAACCGTTTTTAATTCGTAACGAAAGTATTCCGGAGGAATACTTTTCGAATGTACTTTAGGCACGTATGAAGTTAGTTTCGGAAGAATAAACGTTTTTTCTTCAAATGAGATCGAACCATCACGTCGCGACACCAATTGAATCGAAGCAAGCCCATTGGATATGCCCGTTCGCGTCGATCCAACACCGTTAATTGGAACGGAAGCTGCACTACGAGGAAGAGACAAACGCTGCACCAACGATTCACTTATGAAGGAGACTTCCGAGCCCTGATCAATCAAGGCGCGAACCAGAAAAAGGTCACCACGCACTGATTTAACTTTAATTTAAGGCTGTTGCTAACAGAACAGAAGAATGAATATGGAACGAGTGAACACGATGACTTGTTGAAGGTTCAGGTAAATTCGAATTAGTTTTATTGTTTTCATTTGAAATAGCTTTGTTTAGTTTTTCAGGGGGAAACTCATGTAATAGCGAATGATGTCGTTTCGCGCACGTACGACATCGTGATGTTACAAGACATCTATCGAGGAGATGACGACCGAGACAATTGTAACAACGCTTATGATCGGCGACGAATTCGGAACGTTGTTTTGGTGATTTCGCGAGAAAGGCTTTACATCGAGATAAATAATGTTCGTCTCCGCATAAAACGCATGTCCAATTCTTAGCCGATGCATTGTGAGATTTTATCGTTCCCGATTTGTTGCCTGATCCTGAAGAAAAACTAAAATTTTTTCGTTTATCGGATAGCTTCTCAATAGCTTCGAGGGTTAAAACGCGCCCGATAAGAAATTGAGTGAATTCTGAAAATTTTTACGGAACCTTACGATCAGTTATCGACTTTTCCCATTCTTTGATCGATTCGCAGTCCAGCTTTCTCACGAGGATATGTATTAAGAGATGATCACAATGATCAACTGGACATCCCAAAGATTCCAACGCTCCGAGAGACTCTTTTACCTCCGAGATTAACATATTGAGCTCAACAGAGGACTCGGTTTTAAGAGCTTTGATGGATAACAGAATGGTAAGTTGGGTGTCAATTAAGATTCTTAAGTTTTCGTATCTTTCTACCAACAGTGTCCACGCGACGTCGAAATTATCGTTGGTAATAAGAAGATTTTTAACTAATTTGGAGGGTTCTTTTTCTAAACTCATCTTGAGATATTGGAATTTCTCTACTTTTGTTAAAGAGGCGTTGTCCTTTACCATAGTTACAAAAAGATCGCGAAATTGCGTCCAATCCGCGTACCGCCCGCTAAATGTTGGTAAACTAATGCGCGGAAGCTGCTTGGAACGCGACTCGACGACATCCGGAGCAGTAGATACCGTAGCATCTGAAGGTTTTTTTATGTCGTTTAGCATATCTATGATAACGGCTTTAGAGTCTATGTAACTCTCTTCACAACAATTATATAAATCATCTGAGAAGTATACGGTTTCTGAATAACTTGACCGATATTGATTTAAGAGCCGATGGTTTTTACTAAATTCGGTCCAATTATCGGTCAATCTCTCTAAACGAGCGGCGAATTGGCCAGAAGTTCGCTTGGGTATGGCCAATTTACGAGCATTATCAGCTGCGCGAGAAATTGAACTGTAGAGTTCATTTTGACGCTCGAAAATAACGTCTAGTTCGCTCGCGGATGATTCTTTCGGCATCGCGAAGTCGAACACGAATAAGAAATGTTCGGAAACTTAAGTAAATTGTCACCTGTTGCAGATTTAACGAATTTCGTTGAAACGATGACACCTGATGGAGACCTGAGGGAAACTTGAAACACCTGGATGATGGTGTTGAAAGGGCACCAGGAGAAGATTTGGAGCACGTTGACGGCGGTGTGGCACGTGGTGGAGACCTGAAGCACCTGGACGACGACGTTGAAAAGGCACCAAGGGAAGGCTTGGAGCACGTTGAAGGCGATGTCGAACCTGGTGGAGACCTGAAGTACCTGGTGGAGGGTTGGAGCACCCGGATGACGGCGTTGAAAAGGCACCAAGTGAAGCCTTGGAGCACCCACGTTTTTGAAGACCACCCAAAAATGGCGCACACGTGAAGAAACTAACGTGATTCCGCGAAAATCGAAATAATCCGCGATTATAACATCCGGCTCGAAGGACCAAAAAATGTTAAACGAAAACTTTCGCGGAATTCAAGGGGTATTTTTCGGGAATTGAAAATCGAAATAACTTTTGGGGGAACAGGTTTTGAATTAAACACCACGAAATCTGAACGACAAAAGAGGACATTTATTCGAAAAACAAGACTTTTATACAAGACAAACAGGAACAAGAAATACGATATGAAATAATATTTGAATTTAAAAATAAAATAATAATAAAACATGTGAATGAAACGAAAACAATACATTTTTTAACAATTCTATAAAATAAACAAAATGTAAATAAATTAAACTTTTTAAACAATATGGCTATCGATTTTTTACATAAGTAACAAAAAATATTTAGTATTTGTATCTATTAATTGTAATGTTTACGTATATTTATTTTATTGTGTAGATTTCCAGAAAATGTTTTTTTACGAAAGAAATGGTTGAAGGCATGCGGATATGTCATGGACCCTAGAGATGATATGTCAAAAATGAAACTTTCTTCAGAACATTTTGCGCAAGCCACTTTTCGAATTACGAGAAAAGGTGGCCCATTATTTTTAAAACCAGATACAATTCCTTCTATATCAGCTGCAAAATTTAATATTGTGCAATAATCATATATTGAAGAATCGCATGCAGGACCATATATATATAGAGTGTTTATATAAAACATACTCTTAATGAAAAACGAGAACAATTAATGAATGTAAACTGATTTTATGTTTCATAAAGCTATTATTAAAATTAGAACTCAGTCAATTAAAGCATTAAAATTAAAAATACGTAACAGTGTATGGTGAACAACTAGATCTCATACAATTAAAAAGTGTGAAGTCATCTAGAAATTTGGCAAAATAATAATTTTGGCAAATATTAAAAGTTTAAGGCGTTAAGTTTATTTTATATAATTATAAAACACTACTACAATATGTGTACTTCAATCCTATGTATTTACTTTTCTGTAATAATTTGGCAGAAAGTCATAAACGTGTTAGAAAGTAACCTCTATCGGCCAATTTTTTGCAAAAATTTGATCATTATGACATTCGAGTTGTATATTGCTTTTATAAATTTGTCTATTTCTTAGCTTTCAAGAGTCTCCAGTTTGTACCCTTTGTTCTGTTTGTGAAGTAATGTTACATTATTGTGGATATCAACATTATGATTATGTAAGGTTAAGTGATTGCTAAAATTAGAGTTGTATTTAATTATGTGTTCTCTAATTCTTGTTTTAAGGGCTCTTCCTGTTTCACCAATATAGGTGGCTTCGCAGGTATTACATTTTGTTCCAACATTTCAAGTTTATCTTTGGCGTTAAATAAAAGATGATGTAAAGTATAATTATTTTTGTAAGACATGTTGATGTTGTATTTTTTGGAAATGTTATTAATATTGTATGCTATTTTACCTGGGTAAGGAATGGATCTGTAAATATTTGAATCTTGAGTTAGTGGTTGAAGCCCAGTAGTTTTGTTACAATTTTGTTTAAAAATGAATTTATTAATAATATTATTAATCGCGTTATCTTGAAAACCATTATTGAGACCTATATCCTGTAGCGCCAAAAATTCAAAACAAGACACAAATTGATAGGATCGGGCTCCGGTAACTCAGTGAAGAAGCGAGGGTTCTGATCTAAATAAGGGCGCCACGAACTTAAACCGAAACCTATCAATACAAACCTTTGACCCAGCAAGTCCGAATCCAATGTCAAAGGAAAAGAAACAAGTACTAACATACACAAAAAAAAGTAATGTTGAGATAATAGATTCAAACAACTATATTGAAATGTTCTCAAAAATTGACTAACTTTGTTAATCAAAATAATTATGTTAATAATATATCTAATATTATACAAATAATGTTCTTTAATAATGAAAAGTAAGGATATGAAATTAATCTCCAAAAACCTTATCGCTTTTGACTCGGGAAACCAAAAATAAAATACAAATAATAAAATCCTGAAAGAAAGTAAAATTAGTACACAATAAATTATCATCAGCTGATGTAAATATAATTGTGGGACACCCAAAATAAGTGTAAACAAAAAATAAATAAGCCCGTAACGTCCAAGCGATAAGTTAACAAAACTTCAAAAAAAAAGGTATATATCTTAATACATTTAAAGCGGTGATAATAACAAAAATATATACATATATATTGAGTTGAAGACTCTTAATCAAAAAAAGTATGAATTAATTAATCATTAAATCAAAAACACGAAGAATTAAATCTTTCTCTTATAGTTACTAATCCTGAATTGCGCCAAGACGCGTCCGACGTCCAAAAGGTTATGTTTGGTTAGGTTTTACTTGCGTAGACCCTTTGCGCAGCTTCGTATCCCTCTCTCTTTCTTCGGAAGGAACCGGACGTAGAAAACGGAAATTAAGATGGCTGCTCTCAGGAAATGTAAACCACGAGGTCGAAACCTCCACGAAG